GACTTATTTATAACAAATATGCAAAACTGATTTAGCTTTGCCTCCTCTTTGGCTTCATTGTCTGTTTTCTTCTACCCCAAGAATGATACCTGGGCCACTGAGTAACTTGGGAAACTGCATCTTTAGTGAATCTCTCTTCTCCTTTCATTGGAGATTCCACTATGTTATTTCCTCTGTCTAAAATATGCTTCCAGCAGCCCATTCCTCTCTATACCTATCTTCCTCAGTCCCCTGGGGCTTCCCCACTGCCAGAACAGGTGTTTCTGTAACAATATCTTATTCTTATTTTGGCAGATTTGAAAATAATTTTAAAGAATTTTTGTTTGTTTGATTGATTTTATGTCTGTCTTGCAAAGTCAACACAGAGCTCTCTGATTACTAAACTGTCATCCTCACTACATAGCAAAGAGCTGATACACAGGCATCCTCAAAGATTAGTGAGAATTAGATGAATGAATGGTTGAACAAATGAATGATAAGGATGATATCTTTGAGGAATTCACAGTTTAGGCTTTAAAATGTACACATACATATATATACATACATAGCCATAGATGCACCTGTCCCAAGCCAGTTGTGGATCAAATTCACCTTACATTAAAACACATTAGGAAAGTAAGTAGAATAGAACAAAAAGACTACTCAAGTTAGATGTTATCTATTTAGCTCTTAGCCCTAGGGATACTGCTGTATTTCACTTTACAGTTTACTATACATTGTTGCAGTTACTAATTACTTAACTGTAAAGCAATGCTGGCAAAGAAGAATAAAATAAGAAATTGAGAGTTGATAAAGAAAGTAAATGGGGATTTAAAGGGATCCAGTTCTAGATCCCGATATCTCATGCCATGTCCTATCACAAAGGACATGGAGGAAGCATCAGGAATAAACTGGAGCACAAAGAAATTAAAGAATCAAATGAATATCAAGTGATCTGCCTATATGGTAGCAAATAGGTCCCTGACCCCTGTTTGTAGCAATCCAAGCTTTACAGATCCAAGTGTGTTTTTTCCAGTATACAGGTATAAATATTTCAAACACAGGAAATCCCAGAAATAAGTGACAATAGACAGCAAAGGAACCAACCAAATTGTACCTTGTAGATAACCTAAGACAATGCTTGCTTCTTTCAAATGTATATGTGATTTATTGTAATTGCATCCTATTATTTTTTAATATAATTATATTTAGTGTATTTTTTGCATCATTTTTCATTTTTGTACAACATGTGCTTTCTCATCCAGGTGATAGTCCCCATTAAATTGCCACCACTGATTCACTTGTGCACCATCACCATAGTCCCTTGTGCTCTTCCCAACCCTGTTTTGACCCTATTCTCTTCGCCCTTCCTGCAGAATGTCTCTGCTTTACAGTTGCCTGTTGATTTTGAGATTGACTATATTGTAATTATTCTTTTTCCCCTGACCCCTTATTTGGATCCTCTACATTCCTCCTAAGAGTGAAACCATGTGGTATTTTTCTTTTTCTTTCTGGTTTATCTCGCTGAGCATGATGCCTTCCAGCCCTATCAACATTGCTGCTATTCTTTTTCTATTAGCAATTCTCCTAATCTTCTATTGCACGCTACTGTGACCTCTAGGAGCAAATTGCTGTCACCTGCATATGATGGCCTGAAAGTAAGTGAGAAGGATGCTCTAAAGACCCTGGAACAGGTAAGCAGGTGCACAATGGCAAGGCACAATCCCCGAGGAGGCAGCTCCTTCATGGTTTCTGAAACTCATAGCAGTGTTTGTTGTTCTATGACTCACTGCTGAAAGGCACAGTCCCACCTGTGTGGTACAACACTGCCACTCCTACTACTGCCACTACTGCTCTGCATCTTGGGTGGCTTTGCCATTTTTTAAAATAAAATAATACAGATAACGTACTGACCCAGGCTAATATCAATCCTACACCTCTATATATGTGCTAAACTTAATAACAGAAAGCACAACATTCAAAAATAGCACATTAACTATGTGTTAAAGCATTTCTATTAGTTGACTTTCCTTCTGTTTTTTCTTTTTTTTTTTCAGTTTAGATCTAATAAGTGAATAATTTCTGAGAATGAAATCAAGATCATTCAGGAGTGTGATAGATAAAAGTGATATATAACAAAGTATAAGGAATAACCAAATTTTTAAACATTTTGCAATAGTAGCAACAATGTACATTTGCTGTTTTAAAATCCAACTCATATCAACAATATGATGAAAAGCCACGTTCTATAACAACTGTCCTAAGGAAAGCCAAAGATTCTGTCAGGAAGTAAGTTTCTCATTCCGAAGGGTAGTCTGAAGGGTGTCTCACGATAGCACTGCCTCTGCTTGGCTAGATTTCTAGATCCCAATATCCTATAAATGTAGCTCCAGAGCTGCTGACCATCAAAGGAATTTTGTAATATGTTAAAAGAATTTTCACATAGTACTTTTTGTTTATATTTGTGTTTGTTTACCTGATGTTTGGAGTTAAATCTCCAGAGTCCTCTCTGAAGCCAATATCATGGTTTCTGCTTTCTTCTATTTATTTGATGGGTTCATGTCTTACATCAATGTTTTTAAATCAACTGTTAGTTAGTTTTTTGGGGAGGTATGAGATAGTGAGCTAGTGTCTTTATTTATTTTTTTTTTTATGTGGTTGTCCTGTTTTCCCAACACTAGCTCTCCAGTGTTCCCTTTCTGCTCTCCAGTGTATACTCTTGGCTCATTTGTCATAAATTAACTATCCATAAAAGTATGGGTTTATTTTGGGAATTTAAATCCTATTTCATTAATTTTTGTCTGAATTTTTATTCCAACTCCATACTATTTTGATTACTATATATCTAAAATAAGAAGGTTCTACATGGTAAATAAAATCATTAGTTATTAACAAAAAGATGCCCTACAAATGGCAGAAAATATTTGTTCATCATATATCTTACAGTGGGTTAACATCAAAGGTCTTGTATGAAGAACTCATATAATAGAAAAATTTATAAGTGGGCAAAAGAGCTAAATAGACATGTCTCCAAGGAAAACAGATGACCAATAGACACACTTATCACTAATCAGAGAAAAACAAATAAAGCCATGCTTAGCTACCACCTCACACTTGTGAGAATGAATCATATAAAAAAGACCAAAACAAAAGGTGTGGGTGCTCTAGTGGTTGGTGTGACATGGTAAGATATGTCTGATAAGGTGCACTTATCCTTTCGAGTCACAATATATTATGTTACTATAGTTACTCTCATTAAAAAAATACAATTTTGAAAATACCAAAAAAAAACAACAACAAAAACTTTCATATCCATTAAGTAAATACATCCAATCTAGTTGGTCAGTTAGTACAATCATGCTTCACTAAATATTATAATCATTATCTACCAATTACATTTAGTTGTCATCAATATTGATCAATATATAGGATTTATTTAGTTCCAGCTGAAGTTGTCAAGTTGCAGAAACATTTAAAGACATGCAATATTCAATGACCCTATACCTTCAAAAAATTAATATTCTCCACTTTTTCACATGCAAAGACTTTAGTCAATGTCCACTATCAAATAAATATTACTTTCCAGACAAATAAAAGAATAAATAACTTACGTATACATTTCCACACACTTGGGTAATTCTAAATATACACCAGATGTCTAGTACACACAATTACGCTCAATTGTATATGTTTTGAATGAGATTTTTAAAAATATTTCTTCTTAGAGACCAGAAAATCATTATTTGCTTTTTAAAGAAAATTGTTTTGAGAGAAAAAATTTT